CGTGTATAATACTGATGAGACAAAAGAGAAAGAAAGTGTGTGTGTGTGTGTGTGAGAGAGAGAGAGAGAGAGAGAGAGAGAGAGAGAGAGAGAGAAAGAGAGAGATCGATACGATTCTCCGACTCGAACACAAATTATAGACTCCCCAATCGACCGTTGACTCGGCGACTCGTAGATTCGCCATTTTCTATTTCGGTCACTCAAAATATATGAGCTTATGGCTATGTACTTGTACTCGTTGTTCGCGAGCATGGCAATGGCATTCACGGACACGCACGTCTTTCGAATCTCGATCCTTTTCAGCGGATCGCGCGCCTGGCCCGGCCTCGACTCTCATTCTACTCGCTCGATGTCTTTGTAGGGAGACGCGTCACTCGCTTCGGGATATATCAAGGAGTCGACCACGTGAATTTACAGGAGGCCACTCGAGCGCGAGACAATTGTTTGGTCGCCTCGAGGATTGACTTCTTTCTCTCTTTTTGCTTCTGCAATGAGCTCTCCTTCTTTTCTTCTTTTTTTGTCTCGATCAACCAACTTCATCTCCGCGCGACCGTTAACGGTCGACTCAAATGTCTCGTCGTCAAGCAATCTGCTCTCTATCTCGACAGATTCCCAATCGAACTATGAAGTGCATAATGAGATATTGTATACTTCAAGTGTCATGTAAAAATCAATCTTAAATATTATATTTAGACAAGGTATTGGAATTTCTTCAATTTAATTCTTCATTCCGTACAATCTGTTTTCTAATAAAATAATATATAAAATTATTTTTGAAAGTCTACGATAAAGATTTAAATGTATAAGATTAGAATATGAACAAGAATAAAAGTCTTGAACTTTAACGAATGTTAAACCAGACAAAATGTCAACAGTAAGTCTAAAACAGTATTTTATATGATAGCTATAAACGCAATAATTATAGTACAATATATAGAACTTAGTAATTTAATTATGAAAAAACAGATTTTATATATATTTTGCAATGCTAACTGTTCATTAAAATACACAATCCAAACGTGTCGTAAACGGCAAGGGAAAAGCGTCTCTCTATCTGTCGCTCCATCCTTTGACAGTGGCAGTGGGCGACACGCCCGCAAAATTGCTTCTCCGGCATGGAAGCTGGGCTGCCGCACGAGAGAGAGACAATTTTTCGGGGGTTGTGAAAAATATTAATAACTCCGGTGTTGCAGAGTAAAGGACGAAGGGCTTCCCGAGTAAGGGATGGCATATTCAAGGGGGAGGTCGTGAGCGGTGGGTGAGGTGTAGGGGGGTAGCAGTAGACCGGGGGCAGCGACGAGGGGGTGGCAAGTGTTTCTGTCAGTTTAATAGCTTCGCGCCTACCTACCTCCTCATCCCTCCCCTCTCTCCCGATCCTCCCTCTTTACTCGCACAAACTCACCCTGCACGCGTACACTTTGCCGTCGACATTACAGCATCGTCACTCCACGTGTCAGAAGTTGCGCCAGACGTAGGAGGTCTGCTTAGATCTGATAACCCTTTGATATTCCCGTTATTTATTGCCCTCTCGTAGTTAGTCGACATCGTTGGCATCGTCGTCACATGCGTGAGAATCGATCGAGCTCGATCTTCAGGTTACCTGAACCCCCGCGTCTCAACTGGATAACGACGGTTATGATATTTGATGATTATTGGAAATAAATGAGACATAAGGAATTTCACATGAATTTAATAGATTAAAAATAATTTTAGATTTTGACTAGATTACGACTTCAGTCGTAACGTGTGACTAATATGTTTGTAGGTAATATTATGAAGTACTATGTTTGAAGGTAATATTATGAGTAAAATCAACATATCCCCCCCCTCCTCCCTCCTTCAAACATCTAGAATTACAGGTCTTATAGTTTTACGAAATAGGACTCCCTGAAAGATTGAAAAACGAATAAATGACATATCGGCGGAACGTGAGAGAACACATGATTATAGCGGCCGATATTTTTGCAACAATCATGAAATTAAGCGGCATTACGTGTTTTCGCAGAAATGTGTTTTATGCAGGTAATAATAAATATCTAATTATTACTAAAGCTAGAGTGTAATAACATTTAATTTTGTGTAATAATATATAAATATTTTAATTATAAATATATATGTGCAAAATTTCTAAATAGTACACACTATATAACATAGAAATAATGCATTACAAATAAACGTTATATAAACATGTATAAATGTTTCAGAAATGCCGATTTTTACTATTTAATTATATTTACGTTATTATTTAATTATATCGATGTGTATAATTAAATTGTTTAGCTGTACTTCTAATAAATTTACTTTATATGTTTTATTATTTAAATTTTAAATTTTATATATGCGTTTTTTGTTACTTTAATATTTGAAAATTTTATTATTTTAATTTTTTGATTATGTATATAAAGAGTTCATAAGATAATAGTTTCAGAAATTCGCGAAGAAAAGCATTTCCGTTTTATTAAAGGGTACGATTTTCTTATCGCGTTGAAACGAAGGTGCGCGCAGTAGGTGATATCAACATCCAACGTAGAGACATTTTTATACCAGTGTAAATCAAGCCCCTCCAAATATTGCGCGAAGGACAAAGTCGACGCCGAATGAACGAAGGGCACCAGCGTTACCGGCCATAAAGAATGATATAACTGCACGCGACACATGTCTTCCCGGGTGCGAAACACAGTCATATCGTCGTTACTGCCTCCTTTTTCCACGCGCGCCTTCGCCGGCCAGAGAAATGAAGATTTGTTTCGCCGTCTTTCGGTTCCGTTATATATTCCTGCGCGGCTTTATCCGCGGTCGTCCCGATTTTATGGCGTAGGATTTAAATCATCGTGCTTGCTCGCCTCGCCTTGGAAATAAACCGGCAGGAAAATGTGCACTAATAACTCTCGATTATCTTCATGTTTCTTAAAGTCAAGGATGACAATTCCAAAAAAAGAAAGAAATGCAAATAGAAACTGATTGTATGTAGTAAGATGGGAAAGGAGAACGTAGATAAAAATAATTATTTTTATATAGATACATTTTTAATAAAGTTATTTTAATAAAATATAAGTTTATTTCTTTATATTGTATTTGCTTCCTTTTTCTGATGTTATATTATATTACATGTATATATTCTTTGATTTTGAATTTTCTGAGATGAAAGAAGAAACGTAACGAGATTTCGTTACGTAGAATATTTTTATAAGTCACCTATAAATAAAAAATTTAGAAAAAATTGGATTCATGAGAATGCAACTGAAAAAGTTTGCTTCAACCGTTTTTCTATAACTGTAACGATTTTTGGGGAAATCTCAAGTGTTTTTTCTTAACTAAGACGTTACATACAGAAAGATATTTTTTTTCATCAGAAAGTAAAGCGCAACAATACGCGAGATTGGCGTTTTCGATACTCTTATACTCTTTCGATTGATTTTGAAGTTGAGTCGATGGACAAATCGCGGCAAATTGTGGAGCGTAGTTGGAAAAAATGGAGAATTGACTGAAAGGTTTGACAGCGACTTTTTCGCAGTGAAAAAGTGGCCGCCCTTGTCCAATAAGGACTTTGGTGGCTGTCCCGCTGACCTCGTCTCTGCGTGGGGTCTTTTCTTCCCTGCGTCTTCATAGAAGTGCTTTTTGATAGAGATTTTTTGTGATAAAAAATCTTAGTGCGTTGACATTTTATCGCTGACTACTAATGAAGTCTTGCATTACTCTGCGCTTATTCGTGAATTGTTAATAAGAAAAACTGTTGATGTAGGAAATATAGTATGACATATTTTGGTATTCGTCAAATTTGAAAGCAGAAAGAGATTTAAATGGTCGATTGCATAAATATCTTTGTCAATATCTAAATTGTTATAGTTTATAAAAATTCTTAAAATTTAAATTTCATACATGTAAAAACAGTTTTTTATAAAAGTAAAGGTATACTTTTATAATTATTATTTTATATTTTAAAAATTGATACATAATATTATAATTTTTATATATTTCTTTTATTCTTTTTAAATTTCGTTTTTCTGAAAATTTTTCTTTATGATTTAATGTAATGTACAGCTTAAATAAACAAATAATCTAATAAAGTAAAAGAATGTTTTAATTTATTGTATTAAAGAATATTTTAATTTATTATATCTCATTAAATTTCTTGTTTATTAGTGACATTTACAAATTAAATACATTAATAATTAATCATTGACATTAATTAATAATACATTATTAATTTTATAAAAATAAAAAAAATAAAAAATTTACACACACATACATTCTTCAGAGACATCTCTCTTTATTAAAATTAATACCTCAGCTTTTGAACCTTCGGAGAAAGAATCTCATGTTTTTTCGACTTTGACATTCAGCTACCGCGAAATCTCTTTCGTTATCAGCGTCACGTTACGTTACCCCCTCCCCTGTTACCCCCTCTTCAGACATTCTCTCAGACAGTCGCATTACGCTCCACCGCCGAAGCACCACATTCCTCTCGCTCGCTCTCCCGAGGGATGCTGTAGTCGCCTTGGTGGGGACCCCGACGCGATAGGGGTGGCTCCGCCCGTGAACCAACCAGAAGTCCCGCTGGAAGCGACCCGCCACACCCCGTGAATCGTCCCTGGGATCCCAAGAGAACCCTCGTCGTGCCATCCTCTTCTCAACAGATTTTGGATCCTCTAGTCCGCCAAGGGCCAGCTGACACGGAGCAGCGCTCTTTCCGTTGTCCGTTTCTTCCATCAATCGCTCGTCCAGAAAAGTTCGCGCTACGCGGGCTACCCCCCGCGATCGCATCCACCCCTCCGGTGGCCTCGGGTATCTGATCGAAGTATCGGTCGTGTATCTCAACCGATCGATCGTTCGATCATGAAGACAGTCGGCCCGCCGCGCGCCGACGGATTTCCATCGATGTCGCTCGTCATTTTCGTGATGTTGACGTGATCTCGTTGATAACGTGAAGGAAAACTCTTGTGATACCGATGTGTCGAAAGTGATCCGAATCCTCGTCTCGTCCAGAATCATTTGGAAGATCTAGGATTCCGGATCCGGATCTGAGACAAACTACCGATGAACGGTCTTGATCTGTCTCGATCCGTCGTGGATTGCAAGATGAACGGTAAGTCAAACAGATTGCGTTTTGTGTGTGTGTGTGTGTGTGTGTGTGTGTGTGTGTGTGTGTGTGTGTATATGTGTGTGACGATGGACCAATATTAAAAAATATCCACGATGATTGAATTTTTACGATTTGTGTCAACACGCAAAATGAAATGCATTGATTGAAACAAAGTTCTTGATGCTGTATCTGTGCAGAAATAACAATGACAGACGTAAGAATAATCTTGAACCTAAACGTTATTAAAAATAATTTTTTATTAGCGTGAATACAGAAATAAATTTATGTCAATTTTATAATTTTATATCAAATCGATATTTAGATAATCGATTCGATTATGTAGATTCACCAGTAGTCTATTTTCATAAACTGACATAACATAAATAAATTGATTTTATAATTGTTTATGTTTTTATTCTTGTTTATTAAGATTGATTATTAAATCAACCTTAAATAAGATTAGTGTAACCAGCTGTTAAAGCGAAAACATCGTTACAAATGGAAGGATACTTTTCATCAACAAGTCTGTACTTTGTAGAGAGTATCAAACTCTTATAACGAATTATTCGATCGTTATACGATCGAATAATTCGTTATAAGAGTTTGATACTCTCTACAAAGTACAGACTTGTTGATGAAAAGTATCCTTCCATTTGTTTCATTACATGCAAATATCGGCAAGGAAGCTTAACCGCAGCTTGTCCGGAAGCCAGACTCTGCAGATTCGATCTTCTGTCCAATTTGGCCTGCCTTGGCCTGCTAATTCTGTGACATGCTGATAATCTTATCGACGTCTCACGATACTGCTCCTGGCCACAGGATCCGACTACATTGTTTTTTTAATTAACCCCAATCGTCAATCTGCTCCTCGTGGTAGGGAGATCTGATACTGTCAGCGAGATTGACCATTAATCGTATTATCTGCAATGGAGCTTTCGGAAATACCGGCGTTGCCTCTCGCCACCTCGTGTTCCATAACATGGTACATTAAAAAACGTCACTGTTCTCTAGAGGATCCCCGTATCACCAGGATGTCCTGTGCGGTCAGTGCTAACGCGGTCTGCACAAGTGCGAACGTAACTCGCGGTGCAATCGCTCTTCCGACATCTCTCTAGTCGCCAATTTGTTTAATTATCTTTTCCGGAAGTCACACTTGCGTTTCTTGAACCTCGTGGTAATCTCCGCGCGTGTCCCGCTTCTCTGCCCCTCGAGATCCATTATTCTAGATTTTGTTTTGCTCAATGATAATTATTTTTAAGTATCTTATGAGAATTGATTGACACTTCAAAATGCTTATATTATGTTTAAATTATATAAAAGGTATTATATACCCCACGAAATAAGAAATTATGTAATTATATAAGTAAAATTACAAAGAAATTAATTTTGACTATTGTAATAGTAAATACTGTTCAATGACTACTTTTTAACAAAGAAGAATATATATGTATAAGAGTATTTTTATAAACTTTGTTTTATTTTATCTGTTTAGTTTCTTGTATCAAATATCTATTTGCTTGACAATGTTTGGACGTTTACATTTGGCTTCGTGTATCTACTTAATGGGTAGATTAATCGATCATTGATTGATCGTTTGTTAAACCCTTCGATCGTGAAACGTTAACTGCCTATACATTTGGCGTATGCAACTACCTAGCAATCAATAGACGAATTCACGAAGTATCGCACACGCGCATCAATCATCGATCACAATAGACTCGTGCGATGCAAAAGAGTCATTTGCTTTATAACTCGCTAACTACTTCATCGCCATTGGCAAATATATATTATTATTTTCACAGTAAATATCATGTGACACACAATAGCAATTGATAGAATGATTTTCATTAGCTGCCTATCCACCATTGCCAATAATATTCTAATTATTGTTTACCGGTTATAAAATAACTCATAATGACCCTGTAAGATTTTACATATAAGTTTGTAATAAAATAAAATCTGACTCTTTTATTTTAGGAACATAAAAAGAGATTGCTTTTTGATGTTAAAAAAGAAAACCTTTTTAAATAAAAATAATTTTATTATAAAGATTGGTAATTCCATATTCTTCAGAATTAAAGCTGTAGATATAAATGGAAGTTCCGTATACGTCTGCGGAGAAATTAATTTCTAAATTAATATAAAAAAAGAGGTTCTTCCCACGATTAATTTGTCTAGGGTGTAAACCGCGCTAAAGCGGTACGTTCTAATCATCTTCAGAGCCTCTCGAGCCGCTATCATCAGGGATAATGTCACGCATGGTTCAACAAGTACACTCGTACTTCTCTGTCAAGGGAGAAAGTATTCTGGCACTTGGATCCCACAGAAGTCAAAGACCCCTGGCTTTCGAGGGTTTTCCAAATATTGTTGTTGTATCATATCGGCTACTCACTGTGATGATTTGGAGTGTATATCCCGGATACCCTCGCGTGATCAGGTCTCAGTTCTTTACGATCATCTCCGACTATGAACGCGAAGATCCGCTAAATCGTGTTTATTCTGTCGATTAGGACTGAATTTTGGATAATAATAGTATTCTCTAAATTTCTTGGAGTGAAATCTCACTCCAAAAGAGTTAAAATATTGTCACTATTGAAAAATTTGCACTCTTGAATGAGAGTGGCAGATTTTTCACTTTTTGTTTTTTGGAATGAGATTCATTCCAAAGAAAAAAAATCTCACTCCTTTTTTTAAGTGAATCCCATTTCAAAAGTGTTAAATTTTATTTAAAAAAAAAGAGCCTTTAAAATCATCTTTATTCAAGAGTCCAAATTTTTTATTTTTTTTTCAATAATGACAGTATTTTAATTCTTTTGAAGATTTCACTCCAAGAAATTAAGAAAATATGTTACGTTTATGCTTCTGCGTTGTTTATTTTATGATTACTTCTCGACTTAATTTTAATTTTTTATCTAAACAAATCAATATTATATATCTAAATTCAGAAACAATGCAATGTAAAAAATCATTGGTTTAATGGTAGTTATGGATTGACGTAGGACACAGGATACTGATCTAGATTTTGATTCTCAAGCATTCAGTATTATTAAGATCCATGTCATAGTATATCACAGTGCAAGACATTATACGTAAAATTAAAGTAAAATATATTGTCCATAATACTAATCGTGTAAGTTGCAAAAATAGTAAAAAGATTGATGCATACTATCAGTATTATTGATTGATATTATTGATCGTGTAGAGTCACCTTAGGAATCCATAAGCCTATGGATTATTATATGAATGATTTATTTCTTTCCATTAACTGTAACGCATCGATATCGACACTCATAGACATCCTGTCTCTTTGAGCTTCGTGTCGACAAGCACGCCTTGCAGGATCACCGTTTTCTTTTACGACTCGCCCACACCATCGACATAAGTCGACGGATCCTTAAGTCTTTGTTTACTCTCTCGATTAGAATGGAATTGAAGTTGGCACCGTAAAATTGATATTTTTAACGTTTTATTGCGTGGCATATGATGAGTATGGACTTTTTATACATGCAGTCTAATATAGAAATATTTGCTCCTTCTCTATATCCTATTTAAACTTTTAAGAGGGAGACGTGTAACAAATCGGTAATTTATCTTAATTATTTAATAGCACCGCAATATCGAAATTAATCGTGAGAAAGCTTTGATCATAAAATTATAGTGCTTCCTTCCCTTCTTCTCTATCTCTCCCCAATTTGTCTTCCTCTTTGATGCACCTGCCAGCTCGTCGCTAAAACGATCATTTGCTTAGTCGCCGATTCACACGGAACTCTCGCTGTTTGCAGAGGACTCGATCTTCGCAGGTTTCTCGGCTGGCTCGAGGACGCGCATAAAGTTCATAGTTTGTTTTTAGATAGCCGATACACCCGCGTGGATATTTCGATTCGGAGATAAGGTTGCAAAGAGCCCGTCGTGTCCGGCTAAAGCAAGTTGTACAAACAAAACCAGATTTGTACGATACTTCTTTGTCACTTCGAACGTGATATAATTGGCATCACGAATAGATAACGATATTTTTATTGGAAATGCGTGCTTATCCGCAATTAAATGCGTTTAAAAAAACATTTCTTATATAATTTATGCTTTCTTTAATTTAACTATTATATTATCATATATATATTGTACCGGATTATTTTTTTTTATTATATATTTTTGTCTATAGAGCAATGAGTTGCGTTTGCGACAAAATATAATCAACAATTTATTTAATAATACATGTAGGATAGATTCTCTTTATCCTCTTATATCTTGCACTGTATGACATCACGACGCATCAAAAACAGCCGACAAGAGGACAATAAAATTCTTATCACGACAAACATCCTCGGCTTGGGTGTCACTACGTGCACGCAGCAGCTGCGTACGAAGAAACGAGCCGCAGATAGCGCATACTCCAATTGACACTTGTCCTTGTGTGTCTAGGATTCCGTCAAGTCGTAAAGAGAGAAGGGAAGAGAGAGCAGCGCAAACATAAATTTACTTTATCTCTCTCGTGCAAAACCATTCATGATTTTCCGATACCTTCATCGAAACGCAAAGTTTACATGAAACCACGACCTTTCCTGCAACAAAACGCTCGTACTTGCGTTTAATATCACGAACTGCGACTTTATCGCGGGAACAACCAGCTACCACTTTCTCAGAAATGACCAATCAATACGTCACTTTCCAGAAAGTCTCTCATCAATTCTATAATATGCGAACCGTTCTTAATAAACGTAGTTTTCGTAAATGGCCAATAATAGTTACTGAAAATATGATAAAAATATTTGACATAATCTTTAGAGTAATTGACACATGTTAAATAAATATTGTCGTGAAAGAGAAAAATCAATGATTATTAGTTTTAAAGAACAATTTATCCTTACAATTTTATTCTTACTCATTGAATTAAAAAGACATTATTTAGTTAGTCAGAGCTTTTTTTAGTTTTGGAAAGCATAAAAATAAAAAAATATATACATAGTGCATATATATATATATAGACATCTATAAAGAAAAAAGTATATTATTACAAAATTTAATTTTTTATTATAATTTTACTATTTTTCTTGTTATAATTTCTGTGTATTTGTGTGTGTGTGTGTGTGTGTGTGTGTGTGTACATATACAGAAATTATTTTACTAAAAATACTAAATAGTAAATAGTAAAATCATAGTAAAAAAGTTAAATTTACAATATTATAATCTTTTTTATAGGTGTCGCTTCGATATTTCCTTAAGTATTTATTTAAGATTTATCTTAAATTTATTTATTTATTTATTCTTCCTAGGAAGCAGCGACGAAGGCGAGTCGACATCGGGCGCGACTGGCGGGGGTGGCGGCAGCGAGAACGCAGAAATGGAGGAGAACGGATCGACACGCACGAGTAGCAACAGCAGCAACAACAATCCCGTTTACAGAGATTTGAAACTACTTCAGACCGGCGAAGTTCCGCAGGAATATAATCCACAATCGCGGACCTCCTATCAGCAGCGCGGATACTCGCCGGGGATAGACCGACAACGGAATTATGAAAAGGAGCAACTTCAACCGTCACCATCTTCTAGGGAGGAAGAGAGAAAATCGTCCTGGGATTATGAGAAGAACAGAAAAGAATATTCGAGGTCGCGGGATTATAGCAATGAATATCGTGAGTTTCATAGTTCCATTAAAAAGAATCTTCAAACGCAGAACGAGAGGTTCACTAGACACTTGTTTCAGTATTGCCGATTACAAAATAAAAAATATTTAATCCTCCGTCGGCCATTTGAAAATTCTTTGAACTCACACTCAACTATCGTAGTAATTAAATTTCTATTCTCTAAATTCTTTAGAGTAGAATCTTATTCTAAAGAATGAAAATTGAAATTTTATTTTTCAGAGTGACAATTCACTCTAAATGTTTTAGAGAGTGATTTATTAAATAGACAAATTATATTGGCTTATATATTTTGCGTTTATTTACGAGCTAATGTTTTCTTGATAAATATTCGATAAATGTACTTTGACGTTTATTTGCGTAGAGGATGCGATAAAACAGGAGCCTAAGGATCATTCGAGTCGCGAATGGGTGTCTCCCGTTCCGGAGGTCGAGGTCGGTGGTTCGGCACCCGGGGGTCCGTATGTTCGTGCACGTAAAGACGTCCCTCGTGGCGCGAGATTCGGTCCATTCCTCGGCAAATGGGCGAGCGAGCCTTTCAACCCCCGTTACGCGTGGGAGGTGAGTCATATATTTCTTCTCATGGTGTGTACGTGTTTATCGTTTTCGCTCGCTTTCGAATTCTTGAGTGGAGGTAGTCGAAGCGATCGTAAAGCGAATGCTCGATCAGTTCAAACTGACCTTTTGAAGCGAAAGATGTTTGCTGCACTCTCAATGTTGCGAAATAGTCTTCCAACGCTGTGGAACTTTTTATCGGAGTCAATCAATGCTGTGGGTATTTTTTCCAATTTTGTTGACTAACGAAAAGAGCATTTGTTTATTAGTTTAGTACGAAGAATCTATATAGAAAAAGTAAGAGAAATCTCTTACTTATATAATATTTAGATATATTGAATGTAAAAATAAAAAGAAATATATAATATAT